ACTAATGCTGGAGGGCACTTAGGGCTTTGCCAGAGACAGACTGCATGGAGTCTCACTGCACCTCCATCTCCTCAGGAGACTGCATGCAGGGGCTGTCACTAGACTGGATGATGTGGCTTGCTTGCATTACAGAGACACTGTGAGACCACCGTGCACGGGCTCTCACACAGGAGGAAGACGCGCAGACAGGACAGGCCCTCTTTGGTGGGCACGAGACTCTGACTTGCCCAGTATACAGAGACCTCTGACCCCTGTGGACACAGGTTCAATGTCTCTGTCTCTAGGACACAGGGAGAAAGCAGGGAGCTCGGCCCTGTGGTGTATGGCTCTGGATGAACTCAGCATCCAGTGGAGGCCGCTCCCATGTGCTCCTTTCCACACCTGCACACCTGAGCAACTGGAGGCCTTGAAGACCCCAAGTCTGGGTGCCTGGGGCTGTTTCCTATGAGCTCCCAGGGCTGCACGGGGCAGGTGTGCAGACAGTGATGAGTGCAAACTTGCAGGCCTTCCGTGGGTCCTCCTCACACTTGCACAGGATTGTTGAGGTGGGACTCTGAGAATTTCCCTGCTGGTAAGCCAGGAGGTCGTCTGAATTACACAGAGCAGTCTGTGTAAAACTCAATGTTGGTATTCTTGATGGAGCTTGTCAGGAGGGTTATCTTTAAAAATCACCTTAAACTAGTAAGTAATGCTTTCACTGACAAACAATTGTAAATATAAATGGGGCACAGCATGATGTTCTGATACCTGTACATACTTACTACACAACGACCCAGTTAAGGTACGCTAAAGCGTATTATTACCTCAGCTCATTTCTCTGAGTACTTTCTAGACCCCTCCTTCTTGTTTTCAAATATATGACACAGCATTGCCGCCCACAGTCACCCTCTCTGCCAGGCCCTGACTCACTGTGACACGGTGCCCGTGCCCAGCCTCCTCATCCGGATGTGCAGCCTCTGCTGGCCACGGTCTCACACTGTAGAGAAGCATGTACTTTCTCAAACATGAGTGTGGCTAATGCAGAGGGAGACCCTGTGCGGCAAGGGGCATCTGCGTTATAGCTGGATGCCTCATTTGCCAGTGGGTGTTTGGATGAGTTTTAATGATTGCTTCCTGCTTTCTAATAACTGGATATGACCAAAAGCCTATAGATTAAAAATACAGCAAGCAAAAAGAGAAGGGAAAGAAGGAGAAAGTTTGTATGTATGTATATGCAGGATAGTTAACATGGTTGTTCTACTGTCTTGTATTTCCTTGCTGAAAGAAATTGTCAATGAGTCCTTGGTTGATCAGTTTTGTATGTCTATATCTGTTTTCATGAGAAACCACTCTGAAGATATCAATACGTAATACAACAAGCACTGTTAATTCCCTACCACTCTGTTTGTAACTCTGTACTGTCTGTACTGATCCTTTGCTATTTTGCAAAATGTTGTCTGTCTGTAGTATTTTTCACCTTTTATTTAAAAAAAAATACAGCAAGTAGCAATTCTGAGAAGACTGGCAGCAAATTCTGCCTTCAAATTTACCCGGAGCACCTAAACACTCTGCTGTATGGTTTCACCCATCTGATCAATTGATGTTTATTGAGACCTTAGGATGTGTGAGATCCTCCCAGGGACACAGAGGTGGAAAAGAGGGACTGAGTCTCGCTCTGTGAGGTGACAGTAGAGAGTGACAGTAGAGAGGCCCAAAGAAAGGGGAGTGGGAGCAGGGTTACGAATTGTAAGAGCAGCAGCAGCAGCTATTTTAGGTCATGGAGGCCTGATGTGTTGAGGATTATTTGATTCTTTTGGCAGGGAGTGACAGGTCCCTCTCTCTGTCTGCGGTGACTGCCCTCTGTTGAGATTCTGAGAGCTCTGTGTGGGTTTAGTAGTGCACATGCCTTTTCTGGTGTAAGTCGCATGGCAAGGATTTGGGATAAGAAAAATGGGAATTTTTCTGGTCTCTTTGATGACTTATTTTTAACTACTATGTTTTTAATTTCAACACAAGTCCAGGAAAGAGACCTTAAAATGCAAGCATAACCACTCGTGGTAGAAGAGGCTATGAGCAGAGAAGATAAAACTCACACCTGAAGTCAGGTTTGGTTGGAGATTCAGGTCCCAGATGCACGATTTTTGTCTGCTGGGCCCTGGCCAGCCTCACCTCCCTGATTCTCTGTGTCTGCTGTAGGGAGGCACATTCCATACACCTCACTTTTTTCTAGGGAGGCTAACTTGTAAGAAGCCTGGTACACAGTAGGTGCTCAAGTGTGGCAGACATTTTTTCCATATGTGTGAAAGAGTCACAGTGCGTGGCCCTCGGGGCCCTATGCGCAGGCTTCCTTCCTCTCTACTTGCATTCTCAGTTTCTCTACGATTCCGCATTCGCAGATAAACAAGAGTCCATGGCATGCGTGGTTTTGCCGGATAGAATTTCACAGGACTCATTTCATCAGTGCACGATCAGCTTCACAGCTTTGACTCTAACCCAGGTCTGTGATAACTAGAAAATGAAACCGAGCATAAGAAACAAGTGCACAGGTGAGAGACAGAGTCAGCCCGAGGCTGTCTGGTGTTTCACACTAACAGCATCCGTAACCTCCCGTGCCTCTTCCCAGAAGGAAGCATGGGCACCAAAGCGGGAGAGGGAAGCGAGCTCATGGGATGGACAGGCGCTCCAGGAGAAGTCTGCAAGAGCCACGGAGCTGCCCCGCACACACTGCATCCCTGGTACTTGCGGGAGTGACCCCAAATGTGGAGGCTGCCTGTCACTCCCCATGAGTGAACCCCTGAAAGCCTCCTACTCAATCTGCTCACCCCTGGGGAGCAGGACGGGCTGATGTGAGTGTGGGAATAACAGAGAGGTGCTCTCCACAGCAGGAAGGGGTTGGGTCTGGTATAAAATCCCCAAAGGACTATCTGGCAGCATAAATTGTACACATAAAGTGGCTGGTGCGAGTCAGTGACACTAGTCACCAGGATAGGTCCGCCATACTTTCGTGGAGCTTTAAGGTCCCCTCAGGCGCCATTTCTACAATGACTCTCCGCACTGACAGCCAAATGCGAATTCGTGCATGCTACAGCCCAGCGAATGTTCTGTGCAACTGCACTTTTTAATGAAATGAGGACAGTGGACCAGCAGTCCACATGTAACTGGGGTTCTTGAGGATGAAGCCACATCCAGAGGGTTCAGCCGTTAGACAGGTGCTGCGTGTCTGCACAGGGTGCTGGACTCAGAGCTCAGAGCTGCTGACCACCTGACTCCACACTGGGGGAGCAAGAGGGACACTGGCTGGAAGCTCAGGGAGCTCACCACCCTGACCAAGCACACCCATGCCCTGGCTACAGGACCCAGCCTCAGCCAGGCCGGAGGGCCTTCCTGCACCAAGCTCCACGCTGCTGTGCGTGTGGCGTGGCACTCGGGCACAGGGCACACCCTGTACGTGTGAGCCCAAGTTCACTGCATCGGGGGAAACCGATGACTAATCAGCCTTTGGGAAAGGGTTTGAGGACTTTCTCGTCTTTTCATTTACCATCTTTCCACTGGCGTGGATGGAGGCCATGCTGACACCAGTCACAGTGGTGAGTGGTCAGCGCCTTCTCACTATTCTCAGCCACTCCAGCAAAGCACCCAGAGCGTCACGCATGTGAGTGTGGAGTGGTGTGCAGGGGACAACAGAACCACCTGCGGGGCCACACTGTGTCCTGCACAGTAACTGCTGACCGTCTGCCCCCAACCCCACCTTGAGTTCCTCCAGGGCAAGGCCAAGCTAGCTGCCTTCTCCACCTAAGTCCCTGCAGCCTGGCATCAAGCCTGGCATTGCAACCTGAGACAGAGCCTGTGGGGACCATGAGGGAGGGGCGGAGGCACGAGCTGGGGACAAGGTCAGCAGAGCAGCTCAGGGGAAGTCTTGCAAGTAGAGAACCCAGCTTGGATGGTCTGAGCTTTGCTTCGCTTTGCTTTGTTTTGAACTCTGATGCCACAGCAGTAGCTTCTGAGAACAGGAAAACCACACCAGCTGCCAAGGCCACAGCACAAGCCCAGCCGAGGGCGCCCTTTGAGATACTGCTGGCCCATCCTGGGTGGGGTGCTGTCTTCTGGAGGGGCTAGAATTTGAGGACAAGGTTGGCCTTAGGTTTGCTCAGGACCCATGCTCTGCAAGGTGAATGCAGAGACAGGCCCGGAAGGGCACAGAGAGCGGCCCCGTGCACCCTGCAGGAGCCCAGCACAGCTCGGTCACGCCCAGCTCACACAGCAGGAGCAGGCCGGGTGTTGGGGGAGTGGCTCTGCCCTGGCCTGCAGCTGGCTGGTAGAAGCTGGAGTCACACCCACGGCCTGTCCTCTGGGCCCCACTGCCACATGCAGGGCAGTGACTAAGGTGGCAAAAAGCTCTGCTCTTGGAATCATTGCTGCCACCTACTCAGCACCCGCATGAAGACCAGACAGCCTAAGGGGTTAGACGAGGGTTGCTTGCTTAGTGTGGGTCAGGAGCACACAGGCAGCTCTCACATTCATGAAGAGTACGACTCTGATGACTTCCCGGAACAGGGAAACACCACAGACGGAGTGTGCCTGCAAACTCCAGTGCAGACTCCAACCCAAAGAACTTGTTGTTCTTCCTGTCTTACCAGTCCAGTAAAAACTGATGGGTTTAAGTTATGATTACTAAAAGATAATTTTAATAACTAAACCAAAAGGTGTCACATATAAAAAAACCAACCCACTGTAGTCCCACCGACTCGGGAGCCTGAGGCAGGAGAATCACGTGAGCCCAGGAGTTTGAGGCCAGCCTGGGGGCCACAGTGAGGTCCCCTCTCAAAAAAACAAACAACAAAAAAACCAAAAGCAAACACAAATGGAACACTGGGTCCTAGCACAGCTGACGATCCCTAGGGGGAATCACACACCACTCCTGCACAGTTATGCCTGGCGCTGCCATCTTTCCTTACAGGTGGCCACTAGGCTTCCTATACGCCCGCGCCTGTGTAACCGGTTCTGCTGGCCAGGCCACTCACCTGGCTCAACCTCATGCCACCCGCTGGACTGGCTGCCACTGCCCGGGGAGCGGCCCTGGCCCGTGTAGAACGGCTCCTCACTGGGACTGTCCATCTCATCCTCCACAGACTTGAGGCGCTTTGTGGAGCTGCAATGACAATGGGGTATATGGTTAGGAGCCATCAACCTCTTCCCTGCTCGGCCCGGACTCGTTGCAGTGGGCCTGGTAGGAAGCCACCAAAGGTGCTGCGGTGCCTCTGGCCCACACCTTCTTCCCCAGGATGCTGTTGGGCCCTGTGCGTCCCCACCTGGACCAGAGTATGGGGAGTGGGCAGGGGGGCCACTGCAAGCAGGGACCCTCAAGGGACTGTGGCCAGGAAGAGGAGGGCAGCACGGGACACCTGTGGGTCCACAGGTCACTGCAGCAGCAAGCATGGCCCACAGCGCTGCACAGGGAAGGACCCACAGACTGCAGGGCGGGGAGGGAAATGGGCGCAGCTGGAGGCGGGAACAACCAAGAGGCTGTACAGTAACCTGGTGCAGGGAGGGCTCTGGACCAAGGGCAGTGCAGCCTGGCAGTACCCAACTGCTGTGTTCTACCCAGCAAGACCAGGCGGGGCTGACTGACTGCCCAGAGCAGAGACCTCACCACTTCTTTAGGGTCTCTGCTGGCTCTCTGAAGTTCTACAGAAAAAACACTTTTCAGTATTTTATGTAAATACTGAAGTTTTCAGTATTTTATGTAAAACTGCATCTAATGGAAGTCCTTCCGTTACAAGAGGGGAAACACACAAAAGATTCTTCCAGTATATACAACCAGAAGATCTAGCCTCTCTGGATGCACTTGCTCTTTTATCAGAAAATGCAAATTATATAACTCATTGCTTCCGCTTCTTGCCCTGGCAACCTGAAAGCTCAAGACCAAATGTGAGGCAGGACTCTTGCTCATGACAACCTCTCCTGTCTTTCCATATTGTTTCTGGATCTTTCCGTGTCTATCACCTGTCATATATCAAATCTGAAAGATGCTTGCAATCATCCTGGGAAAAGGAGTAGAAATTGGGAAATTCCCTTGAGTGCTCTGGCTGTAAAAGGCGTCATGTGAACACACGAGGAGGTGCGAGGCCTGCAGGGGAGCAGGTACCTGCCTGTTACCTTTCATTTCCAGTGCCCACCGCCTCCTCTGGCTAGCAGCAGTGCTCAGGTCTGCTGCCCTGGCCCCAGCTTGGGAGCTGTTGAGGAGTTTGGCTAACAAGGAGTCACCTTCACCTCACAGTGCCATGGGTGCCACCTGGGGCCAATCCCACTCCATCCTTCAGGCTGGACTCTCTGGCATGCTCCGGCTGGAGTGGACCCTGGCATGTGACAGGTCCTGTACTGCCACTGACATCTCGGTCTGCAGCCGGGACTCTGGGAGCCGGGACTCTGAGACTGGACAGAGGAGGATGCTTGTGGTGAAGGAAGGAAGAAGTCTGTGGTGCCAACCAAGGCAGGGGACGTCTCCAACCCCTGGCCACTGACTCGCAAGCCCAGCTCTGGGTCTGCTTGATGAAGTTCTTGGGGATCAGACACATACTCCATCCTGATTTTTACACTACCCTTTCCATGATTTTGGAGATGTTTAACCTGAAGTAATCTAGGCTCTTCAGAAAGCACCTGTCGGGCTCGCTTATTTACTTCTGCTGTTTTTACTTTCAGAAACAAATTGGTGCTGGATCTGGTTCTTGCTTTTGGATTTTTCCCCCCCACAAATACCTGAGGAGAACAGGAAGCAGCAGTAAGACCTTCCCATATAGGGGGAATTGCTCCGGAAGAAGCGACACACCAGCGCTTGCGGCTGAATCCGCTGTGTGTCTCACAAGTTCTCTGGGGAACTGGGTGAGAGCAGCACTTGGTTCCAATGTCTGCCTCAGTCTCGCCAGGTGGAAGACTGGCAGCCCTGTGTGTCTCCTCCAGGCTGTAAACAATCTCTCTTTTGCACTACTGCGACGCTGCGGAGCCTTCCCACTCCCTGCTGCTGACTCCATCCCTGACCCGAGAGCTCACAGGGAGCTCATGGCCAATGCTCACTGCTGAGCCAGAAGCCTCGGATCCTGTCCTCTGAGGAACTCAGGGTTCAGGTGGGGTGCAGGAAAGGTCCACACCCCAAAGACGGTGACAGCAACTCAGGGCAGCACGTCCCTGAATCAGGGAAAGGCAGGGGTGCTAGGTGCTCCTCCTGGGCTTGAGTCCCGGCTGTCTCTGCCCACGCATGTCACTCCCACTCCCCGAGGAAAACCACACGTCACACACGCTGCAGACCCGTTTTCACGTGGACCACTGTGTCTGCTCGAACTGCGGCCCCTCTGAGCCTCACAGGGCAGCACTGTCTGTCCTGGGCTCAGCACTGTGGAGCACCCAACACGGGCCTGCTGCGGACACCACACTGGCCCGGCGTGGCTGCACCTTGGCTGTGGAGGCAGTGTCTCCGTACCGAGTCCGGGTTGTTCTGGACATCTAGCCTGACACAGATAATTCTGCTGAGTCTGTGCACTGAAAGAGTATTTTAAAAACCATCCTTGAAAGAGCCTAATGAGAGTAAAACAAACACATTGCCGAGTGATTAACTGCGACTGGTGTTTATAATGAGCTCCTTATCAGGCTGGTTATTACAGGACGCTGGGGTGACGCCGTTTAAGTGACACGATTAACCAGCTTCCGCTCAGTCACAGCGCAGGAGGCTGAGGCGAGGCTGGAGTGCCGAGGGTGCGTGTGGTGCACACAGGAAAGGAAACAGCCCCAGAGCTTAAAAATCAGCTACTGCCAACAGCATCTGCAAAGCAGCCCCATGCTGCCCGGACAGAGCCCCTCACATGCGTGTCCTCCTGCAAACACGAGCGCCTTGTGTGTGAGGATGCTGCATGTCCGCACCACTCTCCTAGGACAATGCTCCCTGGACTTGAGCTTTTCCCCGTGGAGCCGATGACTACAGCAAGCCCGGGGCATTCAGACATTGTCAAAGACGACAGAGAGCCAGCATTCTATGTGGGAGGAGCTGCTTCTGTGATAGCCTTTGAGGTACTTGAAATGAGCAGGTGGACCGTTTTGCGTGAATGCTGTTGATGAGGCCAGGCAGGAGTCTCCACCAGAAGACATGTCACTGGGCATTGTTCTCAGTCACAAAGCTCTGGGCTTGCTACAGGAGAAACCGACTTTGACAAGTGTTCTTCAGCAAAGCACAGCACGTAAGAAGACCCTTTTGCCTGCTCCTCTGTGCTGTCACAGTCCAGTGCCGTGCCGATTTGAGGAAGAACCCTGTGGCTTTGCTGCCTAACCCCTGCCAGGGACAGGTTATCCGTCGGACAGCTCTGCCAAAGCGGCGGCTTCTGGGTTTCTGCTTTGCGCCCCCCAGCTGGGATCAGGAACCCGGAGGTGGCCCAGCTGCACCCCCAGCTCTCTTGTGGGGTCCCCGCGTCCCCCGTCTGTGGTCTGCGGTTGCCCCACCCTGCGACCTGGCTGCATGTCTTTCATAACCTCCCTCCAGGATGTCAAACAGTTTTGTCCTCTAGGGAAACCCCAGCTTGGGCTTTTATAACACCAGCAGAAGGGCAGGTACTGAGCCATAGTATCAGCTATGGGCAGGAGACTGGGCTGCTGTCACCAGTGTCCACCTCCTGCCTGAGGAGCCACGCATGCCCTCTGTCCCCAGAAAAGGGCACCCTCCCTTCCTGGGAGCCCAGCGCCCTCCTCTCCGTCCTCTGCTACCCACCTGCAGCACCACCCTTCCTGACCCCCAGCTGGGCACAGGACACTCGTTCAGGGTGAAGCCTCTGAAAACTATTTTTAGCTCTTCATGTACAACTTTGCTCAGTGTTTTTAGCTGTCTTGGACGTGTGAGTGTGTATGGACAGTTTTTTGGTGTATATGCTTCATCTCCCCAGTGACACCAACAGTGTGTGGGGTCTGAGGCTGCTTTGCTGGTATTGCCTATATGACAGGCCTGCTGCTGAAGGTCTGCCGCCTGCATGGGACAGACACATAGGTTGCCTCCATCGGGGCCACCATGGGATTACCTCGTAGAGGACGTGCTGGGTAGCGACCTCCTCATGGCTCCTGGGCTCATGCTGTAGTATGAAGAACTTTCCAAATCTGACAGAGAAAAGTTGGGGCCAGTTCCTGCAGCTATGGGTGCTGGAAGGAAAGACAAAGAGGAAGAAGCATCAGTCAAGCTCTGTGAGTGGGAGATTCATGAGCACTAATCCTTGGTGTGCTGTGCATCTCTGCTGTTCAAAATTATCTGAAATAATCAGAAATGAGCTCTGACTTCAAAGGGATGTGGGCAATGACAACGGTCACCGCCAGAGAGGCAGCTCTTTGCACCCACCTTCATCCCCTTGGTCATCACAAGCCATCTCCAGGTTACGGCACTCCTCCCTCCAGCCGGAGCCAATGCCTGCCTCTCCTGCTTCGGGCTCACCGCTTTCTCCAGGGACCAGTCAGAGCTTTCCTAGACACTGTAACTCTGTCTGCTCTCAGCAGCTACTCCTCACCTGCACTGCAGGGTTCTGCTCTGAACTCTGGTGAGAGGGTGTTTGTCCTTCAAGTCCCCCAAAGGGGGATTGTGTGGTTTCTATTCACTCTGAACAGCCTTGTCCTGCACACACCTTTACCTGCTGCTTCTCTGAGCTGTCATTCATGGCCCTGGGCCTAAGCTTTTGTAGATAAACTGTCCTGGATCGCTGGCCCACCCACACACTGACCACTGTCACAACCGCTACACATGCAGCCTCAGCGGGCAGCTGCTGCAGCAAGGACCGTGGCCCACACAGTATGTGGTCCTGCGTGGAACACCTGCCCAGCCTCAGAACCCACACTGATAATAGCGGTTTTCAGAGCTGACTCTTAGTGAGCTGTGATTCCCTATACTTTTACATCCTAAGTCTCCAGGATCTTTGTCTACAAAAACTTCATGAACATTTCTGAATGAACAAACAGCCTTCTAATCTCATAGAAGAAGTGTGTAAAAGTGGTGGCACTACAATAGAGTGAATAATTCCCTTAAAGATGCTCTGAAAGCAGGCACAATAGATGGACACATTACTGCACACTGGATGTACCAGAGCTATCGGCACACGCAGAAGCCTATGGTACACACTCTGACACACGAGTCAGTTTAATACATGACAACATCCTTCAGAAGGAAAGGTCAGGAGCAGAGCAGGACTGGGAACTTTCATTCAGTAGATGATTCCTGAAGCTGACACCGCTCAGAGCAGCAGCGCAGCCATGAAACACAGTCCCCAACCCCCTGGTGTCAGAGGGGGTGCCTGGCCCAGCAACTGAAAGCTGGGCTAGGATCCTCTGAGGGACGATTCCAGATAGAGTCCGGCATAGACTCGGTGTCACACAGTCTGCAGTGGTGTCAGTGGCTGTCTGTCACCATCAAAGTCTAAAGGTCCCCATCACTGGTCCCAGTGTGAGGCCCCATTGTGATGCTGGGGTGGGAGGTGGCATAGCTGGGAGCAAGCACTCAGGCTGCCGACAGGAGGGCGAGGGCCAGGGCAGAGCAGGCCTGGGCACCACCTTCAGAAGAAATGTGGAGCTGAAGACCCAGGGAGAAGGGTGTGGTGAACGTCGGGCCTTGGGGACCTGGCAGATTGGTGATGTGGATTCGAAGCCAGCATGCATCACACTCCATTCCCAGTGCAGATGACAGATAGACGATTGGCGTCGTGTGCCACCCCTGACCCTGACATTCCAGAGGTGGGCAGCAAGCACACGGCAAGTGGATAAATGTCATTCACCAGCCAAAGGGGACCAGCAGGCACAGGCACTGTGTCAGCCAGCGCGCCTTTCTCATCTCTAGATGTCACCGTCATGGCGAGGGAGTGTGCGCAGGTACCCATGAAGGCAGAATCGGTAAAACCAAGGAGCATGGCCTGCTGGCGAATGCAGAAGGCAGAAAGGAGGGCCCTGGGTAAGGTGCCTGAGGAAAGACGATGTGGGCTGCCAACCAGGTTGCGACAGGGGTTGGGGGGTGGGGGTGGTGGGAACAGATGAGATTCCTGGGCCTGCTTCTGGGAGCCAGGAGCCGAGGGGACCAAGGGAGCTGTGGGGTCAGGAGAGGACGTGGGCGCACGGCGATTTCTAGGGATAGGCAGAGCTGTCTGTTGAATCACAATTACTTGAACATTAACCATAGGTGAGAAAGTCACTGCTCATAGGTAGAAAACTCTGACATGCAGTCTTTAGTTCCGGAGCCTCTCTCAACCTCAGGCTGGGCCTATCTTATAAAGCAACTCTGAAAAGACCAAAGGAGGGGCTGCGTCCGGATCAAGCAGCAGAAGCGGGTTTGCACAGTTTCCTCTTGTATTTCATGACACTTTGTGTGTGACATGGGGTGAGAGCAACAATGCTTGAACACCGTGCAGGTCACTCATTGTCTCTGCAAGACAGGTCTTGGCTGAAGTCATGTTTTTCCTTAGCTGCAGGACACGAGGAGGTGGTCAGCCGTCAGCGTCCATGGTCTGTATGGAGTTTCTTCCCCGGGTGGCCTCGAGGGTGTGAGACAGTGGCAGGATCCCCAGCTCCTGGAAGGTGTGGAGGAAAGTGACCAAGTCCTCTGTCACCATGCAGTCCATCTAGGAGCCCTCCCTTGAGTATCCTCACCGGCTGTCAGGGAGCCAGAGAGGTGAAGGAAGGAAAACACACGCGCAGGTATGATGCAGCACACACAAGCGCAGGCCTCACCCATGGCCCAGCCCGCCCTCCATTCCCCCGTGAGACCCACGATGCCCTCCATGCTGCCTGAAACCCATGAACCCATGCGGTGCCATAGCAGCTGTGCCCAGAGAACCCAGCAGACTTGTCACAGGACGGGCAGACTGGTTTGTGTAGGCCGTGAACTTTACATCATGCCGCGCTTCTGCAATGAGAATGAGTCTTAGCCTTCCCACCCGGATTCAACGATCCAGATAAGGCTCGGCCTTGGGCCTGGCCTTCCTCCAGTGTCCTGGCCCAGTGCCCTTGGGCCTGCTGTTCAGAGCCTGTGTGTCATGCAGGGTCAGTTTCCAGCTAGAACCTGACTTGGTCGGTGCCCGCTGTGACCGGGGAGTCCTGCATAGGAGGGAGGGGCCTATCTGGACTCCTGCAGAGCACCAACACGGGGAAAGGGTGCCTGCGACAGGGAATGACGAAGTCTGGGGCCATGGGCAGGCTTTCCCCACAGCCCAGGAAGCCACATTTCGATAGGCGTTTTGTTTACTGTGCCTAACTGAATCCTCAAACAGGAAAGCACCTTTTGCAGGTGAGAAAAACTAAGCCTGAGATCAAATAACTTGTCCTCAGTTATGGAAAGTCACAAAAGAGTTAAGAGTTATAGTTCAAAGAATGTCTGTGTCTTTACCTTGTACCTCACTGATACACAGAGCTTGTCTTAAACTTGCGATGATAAAAAGCACGTGGTCTCTGCTCCCAAAACGGACACCGATGCAACACCCGAGCACCCCGCACGGTGTGGAACAATGCCCCGCAGGGGAAACACAAAGAGCGCTGGGGGTGTGCAGGGTCACAGTCCCCGCCTGGCCTGCGAGGACACGGGGCAGCAGGCAGGTGAGGACGGAGCCAGAGGGACCTGGAGAGAGGGGGCCCAGGCCTGCGCTGAGCCATCTGCACTGTGCTGTCAAGACAGGACAGGACTTGGACAACAGGCCCTGACCTGGGGAAGCCAACAGCTGAGACGTGTTGGCTGTGAGAAGACGTACAGCAGTAAGTGGCTGTCTCCACTCACAAGCAGCACCACTACTGAGACGCACAGAACACAGAGCACACTGGGTAAGATGGGTTTTAAGTCCTTTTTACAAACGAGGGAACAGACTACAGTTGTTAACAGCTGGTCCCTTCTCCGAGGCCACCTTACCCTGGGGACGAGGGGCCGCCCTTCTGGTAGTGCCAGAGGGTGCACAGCGGGTACAGAGGACAGGACTGGCCAGGCACGCCCTGCGCCGCCCCACGACATCTGGCCTGCCCTGTGAGCAGGTGGCCTGGGCTCATTCGTTCTTTGGCTGCCCCACCTGGGACGTTTCTTCCCTGGGCTGAGGGAGCTGCTGGCCTGGGCTGGGAGAGATCATCCAGGGCCCAATCCGATGGCTCCTGGCACCCAGGCAAGTCATAGAGACACTCTGGCCTCGTGCTCTCACGATGACAAGAAGAGTGTGGAAGGCCACCACTACCACAGGTCATATGCCAGGGAAACAGCTCTAAGTGTCATTTCATTTAATCCTCATGATACCATGAGGAAGGATGTGGGGCACAGAGAGGCCAAGCAGGTCCCCCAGGTCAAGGAGCAGAGGTCACACCACAAGACCTCTCACCCCACTGCGCCCAGGCTCCTCGTGACAGTTCTGCCTGCAGTTCTGTTTCCACAGCTGGTGGTCCGTACACAGACTCTGAATCAAGGAGAGCTGTGCTGCTCCTGGCCCTGAACACTAAACCAGGCAAATGAAACCTAGAACCCTATAAAAACAAGCAGTGGCTGAGCTCCACGTCTCAGCAAAAGCAGCCACTCTGGCCGAGCGTCCAGTTCCCCCAAGGAGCCGCCTCCAAGGTTAACTTCTGGAAACTGTGTCTTCAGATGTTATTTCTAAGTCACACATCTCCCACTCTCTTCCTATCATGAGTAGAAGATTCTCTCCGTGTCGTTTCTTAATAAATGGTTTGCTATTAAGGAATCATTATAGTAATGTGGGCTACTGGAAGAAAGGGGTTGCTTTAGTAGCCAACCCGCTTAATGACCCGCTCATCTGTGCACATTAGGAGCTGGCTGTGGTTACTGAACTTCCGCCATCCACCAGAGACGATCTGCTCAGCTCACACTGTTGGGAAGAGAGGACGACGGGAAACAAAATCCACACAAATTTCCAAGCTCCTTGCTTGGGAGACGACAGTACCCCAAGAGTACACTCGTGCGACAGGAACTGTAGGGCCTGCTAACCAGCTGACCAGCGTGTCCAGCCCACTGTGAATGCACACAGCCTGACAGGCTTGTTCTCTGGATCCACCTCGGGCCTGGGGAGCTCTTCCACTCCTTGGGTTGGTTCTAGAGGACACTCAACAGCACAGGCAGGTGGCAGCTACCTGTGTGAGGCCTCTACTCCAGAGCTCAGCCGTGGGGCCCTCTTAGTCCACACAGG